GTACTTCCTACAATAGTTTCACCTGCACAGTGCTTATATTTTAAATCTTTTCTGGGTTAGACATTATGTAATGTTACCTTGCCCGCTACAGGACAGGATGTGTATATATAGCAGAAAATGGGTCATACAAGAATTTAAGCAAACCTTGGGGCTCAACAGTAATTCTCATCCTGTACTTACTTCATATTTTTACTAGTAGAGAAAAAGTGCAGACTACATTATCTACCAATTGGACCCAAGACACCTTGCTATTTAGTATGCACTTGTGCCAGTGTGCACAACTGTCCTCAACCTAATATGAATTCAGAAGTGAAAACAGTAGTTCATTAATTAACCTGTCATGGAGGTACCACTAGACTTAATTAAGGTCATGAGAACATTTTTCTCCTGGTATGTGTCTCTACTTATCAAATAGTTATTTAGCAAAACTCTCAGTAAAATGCATTAATTTTTATAATGTTCTGTCCGGCCTCTGACCTGTATACGTCTCGTCTCAGGAGTCACAGTCTGGCCCAGATTGGACAGGTATTTTAAGCTCAAGCTTGTTTCTTTTCAGCATCATATTACTAAGAGACCAACATTTTATCAAACAAAACAAAAGCTACCAAACAAAATATAAAATCCCATTTCTAAAAGCACACAAAATAAGAGCGTGCATTTGCATTTTTACATGCTGTTCTTTGTTGCTTTTCCTGTTGGGTTCATTGTGTTGTAGTAGAGCTTTAGGCTCCATGTTGTCTTGTTAAAACCAACTCCTACATCCTAAGTTAGGTCGTTATGTCATATGACAATTGTACAAATATTTAGCTTTCTGAATCAGTGGGAAACTATCACATAATTCATATGTTTTCTTGAATCTTGGAAGTTTTGCATCTACTTCACACAAACTGGTTTCCAACCTGCAGATACTAGTTGAAGTACTGGAACCAAAATCAGAAATAGAAAATGGCTTGTCTTGCTGTGCTTCTAAATACTAATCTTTTTTTATTCAGCTGACAATGACAGTTTGTGTTCAGTGTCACTAATCGATCTGCATAAACTACAGAGTTGGAACAAAAAGCTAGGCTTTCACATTTTACTATGTTTAGGCTGTTGCTATTATACTGGTGACTATCATGGTCTTTTTGTTGTGCCCTTCTGTGACACACTCTGAAAAACAGGCTCCCTCATTTGCATACTAAAGCAAGAACGCATTAAGAAGCAAAAGGAGACAAAAATATGCTTAGAGAAATAAAACAAAGAAAATACAAGAAGAAAATGTAATAAATATAGTAACAAAACATTGTCAAATGAGGAAAAAAATGTACAAATTAGTTTAGTTGTTGTTATAGTAGTAGTAGAACATTTTTCATTACATTATTTATTAAGCCATTTTCATAAAAATTATTATCCCGGGCAGTTAAAGACCTTAGATTTGTTACCTAATCTGTTCAGATGTAAAATATTTTTAACTTGCTAGGAGTCATAAATAAAGCTAATGACTAAATAACGTAGGTCGAAACTTTTCAAACAAGACTGCTGCATTTCCATAGCCATATTAATTTAACATTTTTCATGGGCTCTACTTCAGATTTCTTAAGTCGGCTCTCTAGTCAGAAAAATGTGAAGACTTAACAGGCAATTTCCTGTGGATTACTTGGTCTTATCCAGTACAGCTCAGTTCTACAGAGTGGGAATTTGACAGACATTTAAGTTTAGGTTGTTAAGGGACATCCTAAAAAAAGGAAGTCTGGCAGTGAAGTGGAACTAAACGTGTTTGTGGATGCATTAATGCATACATTTCTGCTCTATAAATATTAATCAAATTAGTAACTGTTCAGTTAGGTCTGTGGTAGCTTAAGTATTTTGTACTATAATGAACATTTTTGTGTTTTCAAACAGAGCAACTAATATGATCAGTTACTTAATCAATACCAATCTATTAATAGGCATCCAGATGGATCTAAAAAAAATTAGAATACAGTAGTCCCTTGTTTATCGCAGTGAATCCATACCCTGAAGCCTTGCAATAAATGAAAAACGATGAATTAAGAATGGTAATGCAAGTAGTAAGTAGTGCTTTATTTAAGTATATATATATATATATATATATATATATATTATAATGTTTCTAAATGCTCTAAAAGAGCACAGCTTGTCAGTGCTCTCGGCCACGCCCACTTCTCCGCTGCAGAGATATGACGCTGCAGGAGGAAGCTTCTTCTGCAGCTGTTGGCTGCACACAGGTGCTAAATAATTTATTATAAATAAAAATTCCATGCCAATCCTGCAGCTCATCCATCAATCAGCCAACTGTGTGTCATGTCAAATCTTATTTTGAAAAACTGCGATAGAGCGAGTTCGCGAATAAGGAACCGCCAAGTAGCGAGGGACTACTGTATTGTGCATAAGTGTTTTTGTCAGTCATTTCATAAAGTGAAACTTTAACATTACATAGATTCATTACATATAGTGAAATATATTTTATCTTATATTATTTGAATGTATGATTGTTTATATTTAGAACTCTTATATGGCATTTTTATAACAACATTGTTGTGTTAAAGAGAGAAAGAGACAGGGCAGAGTTTTTGTCCTGAATAAGTTTCTGTTTCTGGTAGGAAAGACTTATGGTTACACACTTGCATCTCACGACAGACAACACCACCAGTGTTTGAAACATTTTTATACATTAGGGTTTATGTCAGAGAGCTGGTCACATGGTGAGTATAGGGATGTCCGAAGGTCGTTGATGAAAACCACTACTTCCTGGAGGTGTGGCCAGTTCTGAAGAAAAGGTGTTTGTTGTTCAGAGCTTGGTGCCATTTTGAGAGACGCAGCCTCGTGGGTGTGCTTGGATGACCCAGCGCTGTATTGATTTGTGCTTTACATGTGTGACAAATAAACCTTTTGAGTAATAGATCGCTTCACTGGAGCCTGCTTCATACTATATGAACACACTAACAATAGAGTGAAACATTTCAAGTCGTTATTTCTTGTAATTTTGATGATTATGCCTTACAAATAATGACAAAACAAAATGCAGTGTCTCCGAAAATTAGAATATTGTGAAGAGGTTCAACGTTGTAAACTCCTGGTGTCACACCTTGATCAGCTGATGAACTCCTAGACATGAGCTACAAATGTCTCATTCCTTAAGTCCAGCCATTCCTGAACTGGAGACAACATCAGAAGCGTCTTACCTGCTGAGGAGAAGAAGAACTGGACTGTTGCTCAGTGGTCCAATGTCCTTTTTTCAGATGAAAGTAAATTTTCATGTCATTTGTAAATCAAGGTCCCAGAGTCTGGAGAAAGAGTGGAGAGGTCCAGAATCCATGCTGCTTGAAGTCCAGAGTGAAGTTTCCACAGTCAGTGATGGTTTGGGTCCATGTCCTCTGCTGGTGTTGGTCCACTGTATTTTCTGGAGTCCACAGTCAGCGCAGCATCTAGCAGGACGTTTTAGAGACTTCATGCTTCCTTCTTCTGACAAGCTTTATGGAGATGATTTCATTTTCCAGCAGGACTTGGCTCCTGACACGCTGACAACAGTACCAAAAGCTGCCTGTGGAATATTCTAATTTTATGAGACACTGAATTTTGGTTTTTCATTATCTGTAAGCCATAATCATCAAAATAACAAGAAATAAAGGCTTGAAATATTTCACTCTGTGTAATGAATCTATGTGATTCATGAGTTTCAGTTTCTGAAATGACTGACAAAAGAAAAATAGCTTTCATGATTTTCAAATTTTTTAAGATGCACCTGTATATCTGATCAGATCAGGTGAATGTGCTTATAGCGTGGTTTTTAACCAACTGGACTGCAGCCAACCATAAGGAAGTTTTTGTCCTTGGTGGCTTTACTTTTCTGCTTCTGGTCCTGTGTCTAGTAATGATAAATCTTTATGGAAGACATCTGTCTTATAAGCTCCTACATACCAATATAAGCCCTCTTAGTTCATCAAATGCAACTATTAACCACCTGAAGTGTATGTCCAGTTCAATAGGACTTCCTGCATGGCACACTTTTTTTTCCAGAACATGGGTTCACTCCTCAACTTTGTGGCTTGCAGTTTTGGCAGGACAATGGATGCTGATGTTGTTGTTATATCTGAATATAATCACTGGTTTGGAGTCTTGGGCAGATGGTAGACTGAGGCGTTATGAAGACGTTTTGAAGGTCCTTACTGAAAGTTATAAAGTTACTTCTGAAACTAGTGGTGGTGGGGCGGGGTGAAGGTGGGTATAAGATGAGTAAATGTAGAACTAGTTACAGTTAAAAGGCTTTTATTTTGTTTTACCACAAATTAAAAATAATAATTTTAGTTTTTCAGTTTTCGTGATATACTTTCATGCACATGGTTTAAAGAAATGTTTATATTTTGATTATTAGTCTATCTTTAGTTTTATGTGGGTTTGTAAACTAGTCTAATAGAAATCCTATAGTTTTGTGGGGGCGGAGGGTAAATCAGATTTTTAAAAAAATTCAAAGAAAGGGATTTTGTTCATTCTTGTATCTTTGTTTTAAATGAAACAATCAGTGAAGCCCCTCTTTTAGTACCACATCTAAATGTTTAGCATCCTTTTTAATCACTGGTGGGTTTGTTTAAACTGATTCTTCTTTCTTTTTCAGTGTTTATTTTTTCTTGTTGGAAATGCAGTAATGAGTTAGAACTAGGTCTTAATCTTCATTTTCGTGGTGGACATTTTAAAACTTGTATGTTTGAAATGAATAATTAATTTTTAACCTTTTTTAGAGTTGTAAGCCTAAAATGCTGCAGCTGTTAAAAGTTTTAACCGTTCCTCGAGCTAAACAAAAAGGTTTGGCGAGACATTTTATCTGAATAATGAATACTTACTCCAAATGAGCTGCAACTTAAAATAAAAAATCTGAATATGTAATCCAAGGACAATTTTAAATGCAACTAGGCATGAAAATGTGTGTGCTAACTTCTTCATAAGATCGTTTTAAACATCCATCATGGCATTGTTCGTCTTCCCACTCAGGCGTGCCTCTGTCCACTCAGTGGGGTCCTCAGGGCTACTTCTACGCCATCCAGATTGCCCAGTATGGTCTGAGCCATTACAGCAAGAACTTGACTGAGCGCGCTCCCAACATGGAGGTTTACGACACAGCCGAGGAGCGGGACAGCAGGGCCAGCACGGCTCCCTGGAGTGTGCCAAAAGGGTGCAGCCTCAGCCGTGTCCACGACAAGACCAGATCTACCTCTGTGCGTCAGTTCAGCGCTCCGGGTACGTAAACCTTCCATTACGACCGTACGGCCTCGGGGCAAGCAGCTTATCTGCTGTTAACTGTGGCTACAGCAGACACTGTATTGCACCCTCAGGACAAGACGATGCTCCACAGTGAGAGTCACAACCGTTGTGGTTGACAGGGAAGATGCACACCGCACGATTCTTAGAAACTAATTATTTAAAAATGAGCAGACTTGACATCACACATTTAAAATCCTGTTTTCTTCATTAATCGGTGTGAATATTCCAGCTGATGCTACAGACAGAAACACATCTAGTTAACATTGTTCTGTCAGAACATGAATACATGAAATTGACTCCAGGCACAAATGCATAAAACTGCAGAATCTCATGACTCAAACTATGTATGCACAAAAGTAGCAATGTTTGTTTTGGCACATTGTTTTGGCCATATTCATAAAGCTGTAAATTAGGTGTGGTTTATTCTCCTTCACTGTTGTTGAATGGTATTCAAGCCCGTGAGCTGGATTTCTTCTCCCTTTTTTGTCTGTAAATGCACGAGGACACCACTGTCCACATAAATGATTTGATTTTGTCTCAACTAAACAGACAGCAGTGAAGCAAAAGGAAAAAGAACTTGACTTATGTCACTTCTGGAGAGCTTGCAGGCTGTTTATTGAAGCTGACTGCCTTTTGTTCCTTGCTTACTGATGAAAATGTATAGTAACATAAATAATATTGCGAGTATCTAAAAAAGTTAAATCTGGTCCTCTGGACATTCAAAAAACAAAATAAAGCAAAAAAAAAAAAAAAAAAAAAAAAAAGTAGAAATGTTTCATCTTTCATCCGAAAGACTTCCTCAGTCTGAGGTACTGTATTCAGCTCAGTCTCTTAAATAGCACCTTCTCAGAGTGGATCAACCAGTTTTGCTGCTGACAACCAAAACCAGCTGCTCACATGCTCAAGAAGGACCATCAGCCTAACAATGGATCATTAACACACTGATGGCTGTTTACTGTTCACAGAGGGCTGAGTGATACTAGCAATCACAGCATTGCAAGAGGGGGACAGTTGAACCCGGAGGCCTCCACCCCTGTTTAATGATGGACGATTTCTTTTCACAAAGATGGCCTCCTTTACTCCTCTCTCAAACCAGCGTTCCTCTCTGTCCAGGATGTGAACATCTTCATCCCTGAAAGAGTGACTGCTGGTCTGGAGATGAGTGTAGACCGCAGAGTCCTGGCCTGATGATGTTGATCTTCTGTGCTGGGCCATCCTTTTGGCCAGTGGCTGTTTAGTTTCCCCGATGTAAGACTGATCACAGCCCTCCTGACACTGAACAGCATACACAACATTACTCTGTTTGTGCCGGGGGACTGGATCTTTGGGATGAACCAGTCTTTGCCGTAATGTATTTTGGGGTTTAAAAGCCACTGGGACGTTATGTTTAGAAAATAAACGTCTCAGTTTCTCTGATACTCCCTCAACATACGGAATGACCACTGGTCTGGGTCTGGGTTCCTCCTTTTCACCTGATGGCTGACTGGAGTCCTGTTTGGGTTTCTTCTCTGCTTTCAGGAAGGCCCAGTTAGGATATTATTCCTAGACTGAGCTGAATACAGCACCTCAGACTGAAGAAATCTTTCAGATGAAAGACAAAACGTTTCTACATTTTTTTAATTTTTTTTTTATGTCCAGAGGACCAGACTTAACTTATTTAGATTTTTCTACCTGGATTATTGAGCATGTATCAGGATACCATGTGACACAGTTAAAGTAAAGTTCTGTGTGTTGTCATCATTGTATGTTTCCATACAATGCTGAAATTGGCTGTCTGCATTTAGCCCATTGCACCTGGGATGCACCCAGATAGAGCAGTGGGCAGCTATGTAAGTGCCCGGGGAGTAATTAGGGATTAGGAGTTTTGCTCCGAGACACCACGACATGTGGGAATGGCTGGGGATTGAACCTGGGACTTTTGGTTCCTGAGTAGGTTGCCCTGGCTCTACCCCATCTCGGCCCCTGTTGCGCCCACGCAGAACACAACATATTAATAAGGACACAGACTCAAAACATGAGGGTAAAACATTCAATTTATTTAAATGTCTTCCTGGTCACTCAGCTGCGAGGAAAAAAGAGAAGGCCATGAACCCCTACTCCCCGTGTTCAACAAAAAACACAAAGTATCAATGGAAAGATGGACCTGGTGAGCTGGTCAAACAGAACAAAAACGATACAGCAGCGGGCCCACCCTACAGGGCCGTCGAAGCCGCTTCTGGACCAGACTAACTAGAAACAAATCTACAAATCATCTATTGTAAAAGAAAGAAGCGGTAACAGGGCAGCCGGTCCCACCAGGCCAAAATTACTATAAAAATAGACCAAAAATTTAACAAAAAACTACCTGTTCCAGCTGAGGCCTGCGGCAGCGGCCTGCACCGTTGAGACTCATCCGGGCGACAGGATGAGCAAGAGGAAAAAACAAAGCCCAAAAAAACAAGAGCGGCCAGAGAGCAGTCAAAACAAAATGAGTCCAAAAAGAGAGAGAGAGCTCCCTGGAACCAGTCTATTTATGGGTGGGCGGAACACGCCACATCTAAAAACAATTAAAGGTTTATTAAAACCCCAAACCCAAAATGTCCAAAGGACAAATAATAACAATAATGTGCCTCAGGCAAATAACAGCCCCGATTTGCATCAAGGCAAAAATCCTTTGGTTTTCTCTAAAAGTCCTGCTCTCATTTGAAGGCTTCTATTGCAAAAGATCTGTTATGGAGTCTAATTTAAAACACATCTTCTCATTTGTCAAACTGTTATGCAAGCAATTAGTGAACACAAAAAAATTTAAAATAAAAATCACTTTTTTTTTTTTTATGTGAGAGCAACCTATAGCAGGATCACAACTGTGCAGCAGTCCTTCAAATTTCAACAACTTTGTAATTCATGTGACGAAAAAGAAAATCTTTTATTGATGGTTTTATTAATGGGTTCATGAACCAAATAAATTGTTGAATGGAAAAACTGTAACATAAGTAATTATGTACATTTATACAAAGGGCTTTCAAACATAAAAAAAAAACGTTGTTTTTGGAATGCAAAAAGAGCAATAAATACATTAGCTGACTAACAGGTAGTATCAGATGTGATGATCTGTTTTAATATGTACATTTTATAAAATAGTTGGTCAAAAGGTTTGATTGGAATCTTTTATTCTATCCAGTTTATGCAAGTATTGCTCTAGTAACTAAAATAGCATATTGTTCTTCTTTTGCCTTATTTAGGACTGCAGTAATAATAGAAACAGACTTTATCGAAGTTTTGGAGTCTGAACTAGTTGATGTAGTGGCTGTAGATCTTTATCTGACATTTGTGTGACCTATCTTGTTAAAACTAGTGTTGATGTGTCTGATAAAATGCATTTTCAGGGATTTCTTTATCACCATCTCTCTTCAGTTTTTCATGTTTGATTTTATGGATCTATACTTGAAAGTGATTTCTTTCAGTCATGCAATGGTTACAAATGTGGCTCCTAAACATTTCAGTTTAAACCTTAAAAAATGCTTTCAGGCCAATTATTAACCGTGTGTCTCTCTGTAAGTGCAGCAGTAATAGGTGTTCAGAAAAGGGCAGTTTCATTGCTTGTAATAAAAGTGCCTGGAGTGGAGCACCGTCCTTGGTGCCATTTCAGAACATTTTAACCACAAGGAATCTAATTTAATTCTGCCTCTTCTCTTTATATCCAAGGCTCACATGGAACTGAGAACATAGTTCACCAGCATCCACCATGCTCTATTTTGATTTATTGTGTGCCGCCTTCTCCTTTATACGTTTAAAAATTGATCTGTAGAGCAGTAAGCTCAAATAATAATCTGTTCTTCTCTTCATATATATGTTTTATAATACAGTAGTCCAGGGTTATTCAACAAAACTTCTCATGGGGCCACAGTTTCTGAAAGCTCGGGGGGCAGACAACCAGCAATTAAAATCATTATGTAAATAAACCAAAGTTTACAATGATCTGTTACCTTTATAATTTGTTTATTTTTATTGCATTGAATCATAAATGCAATAAACAGAACGCAAACCCAGACCCACCCCCCCAATTTTTATTATTATTATTATTTTATTTTTTTTTATTATTGTGAAGTGGGCCAGGTTGAAGTCACCCGCCAGTTGAATATCCCTGCAGTAGTTCCGCTCTTGGCCACGCCCACTTCTTCGCTCTGCACAGAGATCAGCTGCAGGAGAAAGCTCATCCTGCATCTGGGCTGCAGGTGCTAAATAATTTAAAATAATTTAATCTGTAAAATCTGTTTCTTATGCAAGTATGGGCCGATTTCCGATAGCCCAAAATTAAGGAAATCGGGGCCCTAGTTATAAACATGGAGAAAAAATAAATGTACGAGTCGCTTCAGTGTATAAGTCGCAGGACTTGCAAATTTATGCAAAAAGGTGTGACTTATACTGCGAAAAATACAGTAGTTCCAGATATACAAAATGTTACTTTTAAGTGTTTGCTTTAAAGTTTTGAGGTCTACAGTAACGGTGCGTTTGGTTGTCTCCTTCCTAACTTGAATAAAGGCAGTGCTTTGTGTTTCACTGGGTGGTCTTAGTGTCTATAAATAAGACCTGGCATCATATTTCCGGAGAGATTTGACATGTAGCCTCGTTTTACGACTGTAACATGACCAAAACCACGAGACAGCTGACAGAGTTATTTCTGGATCTGGGAGAAAGTCGAAATCTTTTACCCAGAGCTGACTGTGAGCCGGCTTTATTCTCATCTTATCTCCTGCTGATATTTCCAGGACACTTTCTCTCTCTGTGTCCTCTGTAAAGCTGCTGTGTCTATTGTATCCCCCCTTCCCCCGCTCCCCATCCCTCCTAATTCTTTAGTTTTCACCCTCTCATCATCACCGGGCTCTTTTCATTTCACCCGTCTGCACCTTTTATCTTCCTCCCTCTCTTTTCTTTGCTACCTTCTCGGGTCAGGTCGCCATCATGCCATTCTGTCTTCAACATCATCATGTTTTCAT